ATGACTGAGTTTGATGTCAACATCCAGGTTCCACCAGCTCAGGACCAGAGTGACATCATCAGGATCACTGGCCCTCCAGCCAACACTGAGCGAGCTAGCGCAGCCCTCAGACTGAAGGTTCAGCAGCTGGAGGAGGAGGAGAGGGACCGCCAGGCCCGCCCTTCAGCCTGCGTGTGGAGGTTGACCCAGAATACCATCCCAAGATCATCGGCAAACGTGGAGTGGTCATCACCAAGATCCGCGAGAAGCATGATGTGAACATCCAGTTTCCACCGAGAGGTGATCCTGAGGAGAACTTCATCACCATCACTGGGTATGAGGCCAATGTGAATGAGGCCAAGAATGCCATCTTGGCCATCACAGGGGAGCTGGACAAAATGGTTAAGGAGACGGTTGAGATTGACAGCCGTGTTCACTCCCGTCTCATTGGCAGCCGTGGGAAAGCCATCAAGAAGGTCATGGAGGAATACAAGGTAAGATTGATTTCCTATTAGATCAGGAACATGAATAGATTATGATACATGTTAGTCATTATATGTAGAACTAATAGCTTTTGAAGTCAAAAGTTGCCTGTGAAGTCCAGTAATTGGAAATTTTCCCTGTTCTCTTAGGTGGAGATTAAGTTCCCACGTGGGGATGACGATCCAACACTGTCACCATCATTGGAGCCCAGGACAATGTGGATGAATGCAAGGACCACCTTCTTAACCTCATGGAAGAGTACATGCAGGACATTGTCGAAGAGGAGGATATGGAGGCCTACATGAACCCTAAACCTTTCCAGGCTTTGTTGGATCCTGGGCTCGGAAGCCAGGGACAGGGAGGGTCCAGTGGGCAGGGTGGACAAAAGAAGGAAGAGGTGAGTGTGGTTGCAGGTTTCTGTAGGTTATTTTTTTTTTTTTTTAGGTTTGTAAGTGCTTATGTCGTGTATTCATATACATGGATATTTGCACCCAGATTGATAAATATAAATATCTTTTATTGTTTTATGATGTATAATTTTGTTTGAATCTTTATGCCACTTCATTATGTACGTTACTAGTAAGCATACCAATTCATGGTGTTTCTTTTTCAGGCTGGCTTCGTGGTGAGTGGAGCTCCATGGGCACAGGAAGCTCCAAATATGGACTCGGCTGTTGACTTCCCCTCCATGGGAGCCATGTCTTCAGCTCAGAGCACCCCAACCACCTGGGGTCCTCGGCGCTAAACTCTTCTACCTTGGTGTCTACTGAAAACCTCTGCTTTAATTTTTTTTTCTTATTTTTTTTAGTTTAGTACATATAAATTATTTAAATATTCCACTAAAGACCATGTTAAAATGACTATGCATAGAATTTTTGGACTTACCATTGTTGTTAGATTATGACTATGTGCTTGATTATAAAGTGGCACATTTGATTGTTTTAGGAATTGTTATATAATTTTGATACTTTATTAGATTCGATGTCTTCATTTCTCATTATTGAAAGGTCTTTTTATACATTTTTCTTGTAATAACTTTTTTTTCTTTATTTTTGCGGTGTAGGGACAAAGAGCGAAAGTTGGTCGCTTGTACACTGGACAGATTGATTGGGGGATCATCCCTGTCTAGTTATTTTTTTTCTATACTTGATGCTGTGTGGTGTTTTTTCTTTGGGGTATTTTTTAAGTTAAGAAGAAAAATATGGTATACCCTTATTTCACATTGAGTAAAAGGGGACACTAACAACACAATTAAGTATAATTAAAAAAAAAAAAAAAATGTAAAAAAAAATAAAAAACATCAGTAAGAACACTCACTGGATCTCTGCCTGTCACCATCACTAGAAGAAGGTTGAGAAGAGCCTTCCTCAAGAGAGATTCCAGCAACAACCATCACTTAAGTGGATCTTCCTCACTGTCTTGCTGCACGTTGACGACCCTTTAACCTGACCCTGGCCAACGCTAATTGGAAATATTCGCCTGAGACGAGTCATTCTGCCAGTCTTCCCAATGTACACCAGAAGCGACCCCTAGATGAAAGGTGTCCCATTCTCTCTTTATGGAACACTTGTATATGCTATGCTCATCGCCTTTTGACCTGTACTGTTATAATCATATGTTGCCTCATCTCGACAAACCTCTCACCTTTGATGGCACACCTTTGACCAAGGGGTTGTCAGGGGCTATTTAAATGAAATAAATATGAAAATGCTAAAAAAAAATCTTGAAATAATATTTGTTATAATTTTGTTACTTTGAAAGGTATTACAGTTGTTACTATACTATATATTTTGTGTATTTCAAGACAGAGGTGAGGTTACATGAGTTATGTGGCACCTTTTGGTCTTCTTGACCTTCAAATGCAAGTGCTGCTATCTGTGGTTTTCACTTAATAAACATATATTGGTACAAATATTGTTATTTTTTCCAGTTGAAATATTTTGTATGAAAAACCTAATAATCACTGCACACTACAATATATTTTACAGAACACACCCCAAATACTTTACAATTCTACACTAAATCCTGTACATATACATATACATACATGTAGACCTACTGAGCTTAAGGCATTGTAATTGCCTTTATGCTGTAGCAAGTTAATGGCTGCATAAAACATTGCAAATTATGAGTTGCCTAAGTTCAGGAACCTCTTGGATTTTTTTTCCCCATAATTATAATCCTAAGATTGTTTTCAGAAGGGTAGTGGTTAAAATTATATTGTTTTAAGCAATTTGTGTGAAAAGAGCACACAATGTTCTATTGTTTCTGATAGTTAAGTATGGTTGTTCTATATAAATTGAATTTCGACTATTTTTATAGTAAAGGAAAATGATGGAAGGTTGAATTTGTTAATAATGTAAAATATAAATGCGCAAAGTTCTCCTGCTCAAGGCATTACTGATTTATGGAGTGTATAGAGTGCAGTTAACCAAATTCAAGTATCCCTTGCAGCATTCACTTTATGTAATGGTCAAAACGGCAACTTAATATAGCACATACTTCTGGAACTAATTGTATTATATTGCTGCCTTTTATTTTTATTTTTTTCTTTCCTTTCAATTACTTATTTTTTAAAAGAAAGGTGTCCTTATACAATCACTACAGTTGTTTAAGGGATGGTTATTGTTAATTGACAAAAATTATCTTGGATGTAATAACATCAGTTTCTTGCATTAATCCAAATCCATTGGTTTTGTCAGAAAAAAATGATCTAGGGATTATGCTATTCTGTTTACAGTATAAAAAAAATTGTAAGTTTTTTGTACTTTCACAAACCATTTCATGGCAATGCTGGTCATCACACTGAAAATATTGATTCATTGAAAAACTTTGCATTCTTAGATTTTCACCACTAATTCAAAAAAGCCATTATTATCAGTATTCACTCTCATTAGATAATTGTCACTTCTGTATTGCTGGCCTTTTTATTATAATGATCCGTTGTCATTTTGTATATAATAAAGGCACCATCACATTTAAAATTGTATTTTTGATACAAAGTAGACCATAACTACATTATCTTAGTCCAAAGATGAAGGTATCAATTTCTGCTTTCATTAAAGACTATTGTCAAAACACGTCCAAGCCTGTTTGGTGGGCATGCCTGAATGGAGACGTCAGGTGTGTCGAATCAATTGTTTAGCTAGTACCTTGCCTGCTGCTGGTTCACTTCTCAGATGTACTTATCAGGCCTGCTCTAAGACATACCAGGCTACCATCACTGCCTTCATAAATGATAAAAATATCAAATACTATCATCAAAAGGACTACTGAAATATTACCTTCACTACTGATTATTATAGCCGCCTTGTAGGTATTTAATGTGTGCACAAGTTAAAGGATATTGGCAAACATTATTGCATGAACTACATTTTCATTGGCAAGTGTTTAATTAAATTTGTTTTTACGTTTCAGTGGGAATAAAACCAATGTTTATATCAAACAGGAGGAGGAAAGTGTTTTCCTCCTAGTTCTTTACATACTCCTAGGTTTCAGTTTCTAGTTGAATTTGTAAATGACAAACAGTAAATAAACTGTTTAAGGGCAAAGAGAACAAGCATTGGTAATTTTAGTTTAATCAAGATTCCATTATACAAAACACATCTCTTAACTGTTTACAAAGAAAATTAATCTTTAAAAATCCTTAAAAGAGTGCTAGTCAGCATAAAAATAACAGTTCACTTCACTTTATTGTCACTCTTTGTCTTACAGAAGAACGGGTGACTTTCTGGCTATATAAAAACAATTATACATAAGGACTATAATTTGACAATTCAAATAATTCATGCTAATTATTCCTTATCCCTGTTTCCAAAGTTTCAAGTAGGAATTTGAGAGTACCATTCACTAGGTATAAATATAATAATAGTAACATTCTTCAGCACCGTATGTCCCTTGTAGCTTACTGGTTGAATTATACATTGCTATGATTTTCAGTACAACATGCTTCAGTACCTCTGGTGTGTAAATTCAGCTGCTTAAAAGCTTCCAGAAATATGTATGAAGGAGATTGTTGCTTTTGTCATATTACAAAACATTTCAAGTCCGACAAGAAAATGTTATTAAGCATTTCTAAGTGAAAGTATGACATAAATTTTGAACATATTTACTATGGAGAAGCAGTATACCAAGGTCATCAAACATATACCTAAACTCATCAGCAATAAAGGAAAGGAAAGGGTCACTACTACTATTGCAAATGCACTTCAACTAAAATTGAAACTGGGGAGGGGGGATAGAAGAGAGATTTCCTTATGAAAGCAATACTCATAATTTAAAAGATTATGAATTGTGATGCCAAACAATTATTAATGATAAAAAAGCTATATGGTATATCCATATATACAGGATCAATAATTGAACACTTAATACTTCCACTCTAAGTACAAAACAGTCCTGTTACACTGTATATTATATTTAACTTTGCATCATTAACTATTAGTTATAAGCAAAAATAAAATTCCAATGTTTACCAGTATCTATAAACATTAAATACAGGGCCTTATGTTTGTTCTGGCAAACAAACATAATTATGTTCATGATTTATCCAGTAAGTTCCTCAACTCTTCTTCAATCTCAAACATATCCTCAAGCCTCTTCTCAAACTCCACATACTTACGCTTCTCCTTCTCAATGTCGATAAGCAGCTTTGAGGGCTTTTTCTTCTGGCCTGTCCTTTCCTCAGGCACCTGCCCATGTTTTCTCTTCCTAGATGTGGGTGGGAGGTTCTCATTCCTGGTTGTGGCCAGCTCAAATCTGATGCATCGCATGCTGCCCACCATGAGGGAGGGTATTTGAAGGCGTTCAGTTTGTCAGGCTGGTGGTATACAGTGAGGTCAGGGAGTCCAGTTAACTTGTGGGATATGCAGGCATAGATGAGCTCTGTCCAGGGCAACTGTAGAATGTGGATTTTCCAATCTAAATGATCCTCTTCTGCTTCACCATTAGGTGGCATCAAAATGGACAAGGAATTACTTATAAGCACATTCAGGTGTGACATGAGGACAATACTGCTATTTTCTTGAGTGCAGATTTTGGTTGCATACCTGTGCAATGAGTCTTTTATGGCACCAACAGTCATATAATCCGCCAACTCTAATTTGGGAAGTTTTAGGTTTCTGAGTATGGCTATTAACCTATCAGCATCAGAGTTATTCCATGACATAGGTGGTACTTGCTTTAGATGACTCAAACCAGGAGCAGGCCAATCAAGTTTCAACAGTTCTTCATCCTCAACAACACATAAAAGGTGATTCACAGCTTCATTGTACAGGTCAATATAAGCTTTAGGGGAAGGGGTGACTTCCCATCTTCTATTCTTTCATGGTTTTTGTACAAAAATGCCTCCACAACTTTCTTAGCTATAAAACCATACACAAAATTGTTCAGGTGGATAGATACCACTTGTAACCGTCCATCTTGCTGATTCCAAAGATCAAGCATGTGAGAGAGCAATTTCTGAGAAGTTTCTAGATAGTACAGATCACACTCTGCCAATTTCCAAACTGGAGAATCCAAAATGCCTTCTGTATTGTCAATGCAAGGTTCTTCATCAAACTGTATTGTTAACTTTGGCACATCAGATATACTCTTCAATATATTAAGGGCTTGACTATTTACATTTTGCTTTCTTGCTTGTGATGGTAGCAAAAATATCACAGCTGAAGTTCCTTTTATATCATCAGAGCACAAACTGTTAAGTGAGACTTCACTAACCAAACATGCATACTCCAGACCACTGTTCTTCGAAATAAAACTAAAAGAACTATTCACACACTCTTGAATATTGCTGTCATCTATTGTTCTTAACTTGGATCTAAGCCACTGCACAATGATTGGGTTTGTGTTCTCTAAAGTACAAATTAAAACCTTAAAGTACTGCTTTATCAAATTGATGGGCTGTAAGGTTCCATCAACCACCTTTTTCATTTCTTGCTGCAGAGGTAGGTGATGCCAAGCACATGCTCTAATTAGGTGATTCCTAAGAGTCATCTGCTCTATGTTCTTGGCTACTGTGGTTTCTTTACTAGACACCTGGAAGGCAGACATGTTTTCTTGCCTGCTCCTGTGATAGCCCCATCCAAACAGCTCATTTTGCTGATTTATAGGCCATTGAGAACAACTTGCTGGGAAGGTCTCTTGGCTTGCTTTCGCCTCTTAACTCTCAAACCTGACACCTCCACCTCTTGAATGAGTCTCGCATCTTTCGCATGGAAATTTTTTGTTGTAGCCGAGTAATTTTGGCTTCAAGTTCATCCTTCATTGCAGTAATAACCTCTGCACTAAGTTTCTTCACTTCACTTAGCATAACTTCTCTGCACAATGTCTGTGGCATTTCAACAATGAGCTCTGCAATTACTACTTCCCATGTTTCCTTCTCTACTTCTTGTACAGCTTTTGTGCACAAATTTCTCACAAACTCTTCCACAAACTCTTCTACATACTCAGCACACAAGACCTTGGCCACTTTCTCAAGGAGCTCCTGCATGGCTTTACGCTTCCTTTCTTCTTCTTCAAGAAGTCTTCTCCGCCTCACCTCTTCTTCGTATTGAACTCCTTGTAGCGCTCTCTCACATATGAGATGGATTTCTTCTTTTAAACACTCCGTTAAAATTTCCTTTCCAGCTATTTGAGCCACTTTGTTGATGGATTCAAGATGACATTCCTCTTTTGCTTCCTTTGTTATCTTGAAAAGCATTTCCTTTATGACACTAGATGAGGTGGTCATATAAATATCATTCATGCATGCCATTAACTCTGAAGTGGTCCACTGCTGAGTTTGTTGAACTGGAGGTTCTCTGATCTCTACTGCTGGTACTTGCTTTCCCACTTGTTGGTCTGAAGCATTGTATGCTTCTTTCTTCAAGTATCCTTGACTGTCAAAGCTATCATGAGGAACATGCGTCAACAGTGGATTTTCAGGTAGGGGACCACCCTGAATAACTTCACCCACTGAGCTAGTTCTGTTGCTCTCAACCATTTTTAATGGCCGCACTAATGGTGGTTGCTCCTCAACATGTATAGAAAACAAGCTCCTATCTAAAATCACATTCTTATCAGCTACCTTGATTCCATACACCTGCAGGTAGCTTTCAGCATCTGCTTCATTCTCAAATCCCAGGATTGTTATCACAGTTTCTAAGGGCAGTGTTTGTACTTGTTTTGGAGGAACATATGCTTTCATAAGTGTGTCCAAAGCTTTTAAACGTACCTGCCTGAAATACCTGTGCATCACACATGCTTGTAGGTATGTGGCACTTTTCATCAGCTTGAAGAACTTTACATAATTGTTGAACATTAGAGCCATTCCTACTTTTTAAGCAAATTGGACTTCCTTGGACTTTTGTACTTCTTCTCTATATTGTGAATACTGTGTAATGAAAGTCTGTCCTTCATTCAGATTTAACAACAACTCATAAGCACGAAACTCAGGCTCAGTTTCAAAATACTCCCCAATTTCTCCCAGGTCCTGGTAGAGCTCCTTCAGAGTCTGCAAGCTTTTAGTGAGATGCTCAGTATTCATCTTGGCATCAAAGAGATCAGGGGGTTCCTGGCAGAAACGGGCAGCAGCATGAATGTGGAATCTCATACACCGTTCAATAATAGCAACTGCTTTGCCATCTGTTAACTGCTGCTGCATCAAGTCATTGCGAATAGCCCTGGTTCTATTCCACAAATAATTGTACCAAACATCTGTCTCAACATCTTCATCTTCCCCACGCTCTATGATGTTACATACTAAGAAGTCCATGTCTTCAGAGAACAGGTCCAGGCCTGAGTTCATACGGCAGCGGTTCATTTATCTGCGCTACTCCGGGAAAACTTCTTAACACAAGGCGGTGGTCCATAACCCCATTTGTCATTTCATATGAGCTGAGGTCATTTTGTACATCCCTCATGTACCTTTCGGACTCTGGACACATGTCAGGACAAGTGGCTGAAAGGTATGATGCCTTCTTAATATCAGAGGTTCTGATGATCTCCTTCCGTACCAGACAATCTCTTGCTTTAAGAACATTGTATTTATCATGACTGGTGTTACATTTCGACTGAATGACTTCCTCTGGCTCCTTTCCCTCCACTGCAACAGATGGTTCTTTCATCTCCTTTGCTCCAGCTCCTTGCTTTGGCTTTCCTTTCTTGACCTTTTCTGGTGCCTTCTCCCTCTGTGTGGGCTGGCTTGATACGGCATGGGTAGGCTTAGGCTGGCTTGATCTGGCATGGGTAGGCTTGGGCTGGCTTGATCTGGCATGGGCAGGCTTGGGCTGGCTCACCCTGGCTTGGATAGGCTTGGGCAACTCCACGGTTTCCTTTTCTGAGGGGCGGGGCAGTGGCTCATAAGGGTCAATGTCACTTGGGGAGTGAGCTGACTGCAGTGTTCTGATGGCCTTCTTCTTGGACATCATGGCATCGGCATTGCCATCCTCACTCTTACGTCGTGCTGGAGTGCCATAGAAATTTACTTCTTGGCAAATTTGGATGTATTTTCTTCCCCTTTTTCTTGGCTCTGGAAGCCGAACGGTGATCTTCATACTGCACCGTTGCCTGATTGGTTCTGGGGTTCAGGGTGACCCTTTTGACGTTTCCAAACTTTACAAAATGGTTCTTTAGTATCTCTCTGTCCATGCAGCTATCAGGAATCTGTGCTATGATGATCTTGGTGAGTTCCTTTTTGTCATACTGAGGTGAAGTTGAAAACTCAGATTTTCTAGACATACTTTGTGACTCTGGGATTTCCAAATCATCTTTTGGTATTGATTTATCTTCACACAGTTCAAATATCTTTCCTAACTCAGTTGCATTACCAATCTGGCTTTTTTTCAAACCGGATTCATCCTGTTTTTCAGACTGATTGCTAAAGAGTGGCTGCGTCATGTAAGCTGAAGAGAATGATTTGAGTTTTAAAGATCCACCAAAGATATTAGGTGCAGACACTGATACTGCTGTGCTCGCAGACTGATCATTACTCTTGCTTGCAGCTCTGTTACTGATACGCCCACTTGCTACACTGTTGCTAAATAATTTTACAGTCTGTGGTGCATCTATAGTGCTGCCTCCAAATATGCTACTAGTACTTGATGTGGTTGCAGACTCAGATGAAGTCTTACTTAATGTAGATCCACCAAAGATATTTGTTGTAACAGTTGCTTGTGGAGAAACTGCAAGTCTAAAAGCCACTGATTCATTTACTTGGCTACTTTTGTCTATTGCATTTGGAAGAGAAGTATTTTTTTGTCCTTCAAAGAGTTTTGGTGCTGTTTGTGGAGAAACTGCAGGTCTAAAACCCATTGATTCATTTACTTGGCTTATTTTGTCAATTTCATTAGGAAGAGAAGAAGTATTTTTTTGTCCTTCAAAGAGTTTTGATGTTGGTGGGGCAGCAAAGACATTTCTGGCTGCAGATGGTTGGCTCTGACTGGTATTTGTTACTCCTCTAGACAGCAAAGGAGTGGGAGCTGGTCTGGTATCTTTGGAGAAATCTTTAGTACTCATAGAATCAGTTTTGACAGTTGAAAATAAACTGGGTGGCTTTATTTCACCTGTCCCTGAGAATGGGAGAGGAAAGGCATTGGGTGAAGTTGATGTTGCTGTATCTCTTGGTGCAATCTTGGCTGACAACAATGAAAAAGTGTTTTTTGCTTCCAAGCATTTCTCATCAGACGGATTAACTGCAGAGAACAGTGAGGTTGTCTGTCCTGATGCTAAGATGTCAACCCACCAAAGATATTTCCAGATGGGATCCCTGGAGGTGTTGAGGAAGATGAGATTGCTTTTGTATCAGACTGAGGTTTACTCAACACACTGGATGCTGGCTGTATTGTGCTGCTCATTACACTTGACATGCGAGACCCCCCAGACCCCAAAGACGAAGAGGTCATATATCTGTGTTCCCCAAGAGATGTCATACCCCCAAACAGAGTGCTGTTGGGGATACCTGCAACCGCTGATGACGGGGAGGTTGAGGTCATGCCGAAAAAGTTACATCTTGAAGCTGAGCTTGGGGAGGCCGTAGGGGACGTGTTTGTCATCCCCCCAAACAGCATGTAGTTCGACTGACTCGGTGCCTGGCTTCTGGCCATTTGGAGGTACTCTCCCCCGAAGAGAAGACCAAGCTCACTGATGCCGGTGGTGATGTAGTCAGCTTGAAAGGGTTTTGGCCCTGGGCGCTGTCCCCTGGGCCACCACTCCCATTATTGCTTGCCATGACCTGTAGTATTGAGAGAATGTTACTAGACAAAATATGACAGATCAATTATGGATATTTGAATAAAATGTATCACTGCAATCAAGTAATTATATGCTAACAAAGCATCAGTAATTATATGTTTTTAGAACTCTAAAGTAGCATTATCATATATGCAGTATTAAATAGAGAGAAAAACATATCAATGAAGGTATCTGGAACAGTAATATTATCATTACAAATTCTACAAACACTCCACAAATTAAGACAGTGTCGAGTTCCATATACTGTACAGTAGTCCTGTTCACTGTTAGCATTGGGTTTTAGGTCTATTACATAAAAAGATAATCAAAAGGCCTAAAGTAATCAATCAAATTCACTCAATTTGTATGGAAGCACGAAAGTACACACACAATCACAAACACTTGTCCCCCCCTAAAGAAATAAAGAAAAAAAAAAGTGTAAACTGATTTTTCTTCTGCTAAAATTAAAACGAGCATAGACCTTATTACACAGATGACACACTGCATTCCTCACATGCTGACTGGCTTGTTCAACACCTAGCTATAATGTGAATTCCTATGTTCTCACAATCACCTGTAAAAGATAAATTTAATGAAAAACAAGGTAGCATACATATTTCACTTATGACTTTCTTTTATTCTCTTTTTGTGTGATTTGCCAGTTCATATATATGCAAGAAAAGGATGCATGAGTTTTCATTGTGATTACATTTTGCCATTTTTGCCTTTTTATAGAAATATTGTAAAGAAGTGAAAGAGTAAAACTTAGGAGGTAAAAAAGAGGCAATAACATACTATAATTATATAACAACAAGCTAAAGAAAGCGGAAGATGTCAATCAGTTAGAGATAAATAAACAAAATCTACTTTGTAGCTGAGGGTGTTTTGAATCCTCTTGCCTCTTATCTAGAGATAATTTATTCCAGATGCTATATAGTACATGACTCTCTTTAGTATATCTTGATGAATGAAGAAAAGGTAAACAATTTGCAAGCCTGCAACCTTTCAATAAGGCGTAATAAAGTGTGAAGTTGCGTACTGAAAAACTGCCATTCAAAATTGGCTGAAAGGAAGAATATGCATGTTCTAAAGAGAGAGAGAGAGAAGAGAGAGAGAGGAGAGAGAGAGAGAGAGAGAGAGAGAGAGAGAGAGAGAGAGAGGAGAGAGAGAGAGGAAGAGAGAGAGAGAGGAGAGAGAGAGAGGAGGAGAGAGGAGAGAGCAGAGAATATCAATGATTTTGAAACTTGGGAAAATCATAATTGTATTCTACAGATTGACTACGTTCTATCTAAATGCACTTGAAACTTGCTTTGATCTGTGATGGACTGCCAAAAAACTGAAGTCCCATATTATTATAAAAAATGTAGGAAAAGGAAAAGCCAAGGCTAAGATTTGGCATCAGAAGATTTGAGACGGTGTTGCATGAATGAACAACTATCATAAAGTTTGCCATACGAACTAACCCACCCCTCCTTCCAATCACTGTGCTTCCCTAGCTGATTGCCATGCTTCCCTAGCCAGGGCAGTCATTTAATATACTATAAACAACTAGAAGCATTTAGAGAGAGTAATACCTCCGTCATGGCAATAGTAAAATTATCATAATTTAAGTTCCAAAAAAGATGTTCCATCTCCTAAAGCTTAAAACCATATCACCACCAAAACTTACTGGCATCAAAATTAGGCTAAGACACATCACTGGTAAACATTTCACAAAAATCTGCTTATAACTTTTTGAATTATCTGGCAAACCAACTAACAAACAAACCAACACTAACAAAAATACAACCTCCTTGGCAGAGATTAGAATAAATATGATAAATACCTGATTTAACCTGTTTTTTACTATCAAATATTCACTGTTGCTTGTATTTGAGGCACTCTAGTGTTTTTAAAACATGTTCATGGTCCTGTGCCAATTCAGTAAGAGTTTATATTTCATACTCATATTGTTTTGAGTTATAAATCACATCACTGACAAAACATTTCACCGGTTCATTACACTCTCTGCAGACATTTGAATATCGCGTGTGACCGTGGTGACACAACCAGCACCCAATGCTATTGGCCAATCACATATCATAGCACCATACAATGATGTCAAACCAAGAATTCATGGAGTGCAAATTGTGAATAGATTAGAGAAATTAGTTAACTTAATGAAGTGTGATGGTACCTTATATTGTTTATGAGACAAAGTATGGTACACCAACATGAAATTTTGCATAAATGTCTATCTAACGATAGATAGGGAACTTGGTCTCCACGCAAAAAATTTTGGCAGCTCTATTTTAATACGATGAAGTAATTACGTCCTTCCGTGTTTTGAATTTGACTTTCTCAATTCATTTGCATGTTGTTGTTCTATTTAAGTAGCATTTTTTTGTCTGTTTACTAAAAATTCCATGTCCTCAAGATTAACCCAAGGTATTTTGAATATTTCACATAATAATTCCTTTGCTACATTAATTTTTCTCTTGATTACCACATACCTTTATACAACACAGAAATTTTAATAAATTTCATGAAATGTTTGACTTTTTT